GCAGATATTACACTTAATCAATGCAGCTCTCCCCTTTCAGTTCCACAAAGCACAACATGCCCTCCAAAGGTATACTGGGGCTGAACCATAATTTTCCACAAAAGAAACGGAAAGCCTAATTTTGTCCCATGCTGACAGATTTCCTGATACAGAGACTTAGGACAACCCCAAGTTCAGTCCATGGGTATGAAAAATAAGCTGGAGATAAATTTTACAAAACCACATATTGAAAAACATTTTCGTCCTTGGAACTCTGACTATGTAATTGAGAGCATGTTGTGTTTACTTGTGCTGTTAAAGAAAGGAGATATGCCATACAAAAACTAGCAAGACTCTGGATTTCATTATAAATCATTCATTCTTGCCTTCTAGTAATTGCTACCATGGCTTCCCATTTCCTACCTGGTAAAGATACCTCTAAGTGTGGGCTCTGCTTATATTTGCATCTTTTCCTCTATATCCCCTAAGTCTAACACTACAGTCAGACACAACTAAAACCAATTGTCTGAACACACCATGCTGCTTAACATTCCCTACCTCTGTAAATACAACTCCTTTGTGGAACCTATAATCTCCCCAAAGACTAATTTGAATGTCAAGTTCTCAGTGAAATCTTTGCAAAGCCCCCCCGCCCAGTGCAGTGGCCCTAAAGCTTTGGTGTTCACCACATCGCCCTGGAGGCTATTTTAAAACACCCAGCACTGGCCTCCACAAGAAGTTTCTGGTCAGGAGATCTGGTGCAGCCTGAGAATCTGAACTTCCCGTGAGTCCCCAAGGAATGTTGGTGTCACACTCAGAGCACAACTGCCATGCGTTATGAAAAGAACCCTGTCCCGTTCAGACACTAGTGCCATCACCCTTCTGTCTCTCACTTTGAGCCTGCGGGCTGTTCAAGGACAGAGCTGAGTCTTCCTCCTGTCTGTACTTTCCCGTCTTGGAACAGTCAGTACTCAATGCATGGCTTCCAAGCCCATGAACAAATGAATGGATGCATGCAGGGATGGATGGCACCGAATTTATTGTAACAACTTTTTCACCCTAGTCCAGAGTTTGTGAATGTCCATCCCCAATTCCAAAAAGTATCTTGAAAACATCACCTGTAATAAATTCTAACTGTGTAGAGAAATGAAAAGGAAATTCAAGAGGAATTCTGATATTGTCAGTCTGTCACCAAGATGTGAATTCTAATCCTGTTGACAAAGGTTGTGCTTAAAGGGTCCCAAAGAATGCTTCTGAGCGGCACCTTTCAGGGTCCTGATCCCCGAGCTTTCCCTCCTTTGATTCATATATATGTGTATCTGTATGTGTGCACATATGTACTCAGATACAGACACATACACATGGGGGCTTTTCGGTAGAAAGTAAGTGCAAATGGCAAGAGAAATGGAGAGAGAAGTAAGATTTCAGCAGGAAAAGGAAGGGCAGCAGCCCAAGCAAGGAGGTGCCCTCACCCAAGGGCACGGGTCTGAGGCAGAGAGCCCAGAGCACAGAGAGCAAAAGACACATCTACCGGAGATGGGGAAGTGGACACTCAGGAGAAAATGAGACAAGATCAGAGAAACAAAGGTGAGAGTGCATCTGCTGGGGGTGGGGGGCTGCGAAAACAGGAATGGCAGTCAACTGCTGAGCCAGCAGCTTAGACAACGGGCGGGAGTGGGGAGGGAAGGTCAGTACTGGCTGTAGCAGGCCCCCTGCCCTTTCCAAAGCAGCAGCAGGCACAGGGATGAGCAATGCGCTCTGCAGAAGAGTTGGAGGGGACAAAGCAAAGGACGGCAGGAGGACCACAGTCAAAAGGTCTTGCCTGCTGCAGACAATGTGAACCAGCTGCCTGTGGCCTGGTGGACTCCCGTGTCTGTGGGGCTGTTATTCCCAGAGAGCACCTTGGGTCACCTGTGCTCTGCCAATAGGTGAAAGTCAGCATTTCCTCCTCGCCAGCATCTAGGGCTTCTCCTGGGGGAGCCACAGATTAGCCTCTCGGCCCCACACCCAAAGGCTTGCTAGGGAGGATGCTGCTGAGCCATGACATTCAATTTGTCACACAGCCCCAATGGCATTTGGGGACACAAAGGAAAGTACCCCTTCCCAGCCCCAGACACTGGGACCAGCTAACAACTGAGTATTAATTGGTGTTCACAAGCAAATGCGGGAGGACGGCTCACCAGGGGACAGTGGGAGGAAACCGAGCACACATGTGGAGCTGCCGGCAAATCTGCAGTGACTACAGCACACCGAAGCCCAGGAGAGTAGCTGCCTTGGGGTTTGTCCTAAGAAATTAGGGACGGAGGCAGGATGGCTTCTCCAGACAGTAAGAATCTTTCTCTGTGGCACCTTCCCCATTAGTAAAGTTGGCACTGATCACAGAATTCCCAAAAGGGGTACCATAGAGAAAATGTCAAGGAAAATGGATGAAGGTTCTGGAACCTTTGTCATGTGAAGAGGCTCCAGATCAGTCCAGGTATCTCCTGTCTTTAAAGCTTAAAAGCCAGAGGCTGTCAAATGATTCTTTGTGAGGAACCCAGCAAGATGAGACAGGAAAGGGAGGAGAGTGGTGTGAAAATACATGTGCTCACCCACAGCCCACAGAGACTTGGGGACAAGTATCAGGCAGCATTTCTCAGAAAGGTGTCTTCACATAGGAAAAAGAAAGGCAAGCGCAGTTTGTTACTAAGCAAGACTGTGTGGCCTCACAGGGAGGGCACAGGAGGCTGAAGATATGTACCAATGAGCTCAGGAGGAGATCCTGGCCGACAGAATAAAACACACCAAAGTGCTGCTCTCAGAACTCGACGGGCAACTTGGAGGAGACAGAGGAAGTACTGGGGAGGAGGCTGCCACCTTCCACTTCCTGCCTGCAGTGCACCCTCCTCTGCGCTGTGAGACCATGTGTACAGACGCACATGCATGCATGTACACCCCTCACTACAGTGAGGCTACAGGAAAACTGGGAAGAATGAGACAGACAGAAAAGAGGCACTCCAGCCCCTTTAGCAGAGAAGGTGAACATTTTAGAGCTTTTGATGATACAAACAGCCTGCTGCAGTGCGCATGACACAAGCTCACTACCATTGGCCTATGGGCTGGGGAAGGTGCCAGGCCCTGGAACAAAATGGCGTGACATGGAGAAAATATTTGAGGATAAGCTGTCTTTGGGAGGATGCGAAATAATACTAGGCTAATAAACACTTTAGAGGGAGTAACAATCACTATAAATACTTTCTACATAGTGCCTGAAATCAAAGGCCATTTCTCTCAGCTTCTTCCTGGTAGGAAGCAGCAATCCCTCGTGACCTCTTGGTCACTTAGACCACAGAAAGGAAAAGCAAGTACAAGTTGGCTGAGCACGGGCAGAGTACTGTCCTTTCTGAAAGACTAGGGTGGCTGCAGCAAAGAAACCTCCTGAGAGGAAGACAGCGACCTCAGTGTTGCAGTTTCTCAGCTGCCAGGGAAGAGAGAGGACAAAACCATCAGGTACTTCCTGCCCTACTTTCTGGATTCTGCCCAGATAATAACAGTAAGGTAAGAAAACGAGGGCCTGTCACACAAAGGGCTAGAACCCTGAAAGTGAGGCAGGATTAAAGGGGTCACGGCTGAACTGTGCCCCCTTTCCCCTTTGCTGTGTTGAAGGTTTTCCCTCGTTCCTCAGAATGTAACTGTATTTGGACACAATCTTTACAGGGGTGAAGACAAAATGAGGCCATTAGTAGAGGCCCTAATCCACTCTGACTGGTGGAATTATGGACCCAAAATAGACCCCAGGGCGATGTGAACAGAGAGGGAAGATCAGGGAAAGAGGCAACCAGGCCAGGGCCATCTGCAAGCCAAGGCAAGGGCCTTCAGAGGCAGCCAAACCTGCTGACCCTTTGATCTTAGACTTCTGGCCTCAAGAACTAGGAGAAAATAAATTCCTGCTGTTCAAGCCTCCAAGCCAGTGCTCTTTTGTTATGGGAGCCCTTCTAAACTAATAAAGAGGACAGTGTTACAAGGAGAAAGTAATATGTGAGTTCAGGGAAGCTGGACACAAATCCAAAGTGCTTGGCCATGGATGTATCTCAAATGCTTGGTGAAGGCACTCAACTGACTAAAATAAACAAAAATCACCTTTAAATCCTAGGCTCTGGATATTTTTAAAAGTCTAATCTTTCTAATTGCATTAAACTTTATACATATTACAACTCCACAAATTTTCTTCACCAAGCTTTCTCAGCATGGATCATATCTTAATACTAGTTCTAAAGAGTCTACTTTCCTATCCCATTTTCAGGTGTTTGTAGATCCAGAGGCTTTCATGGATCTTACAGAGGGAAGTCAAGTAGTAAGCCCCCTTTTGATTCCCTAATTCATAATGAAGCTGAAGAAGAGCATAAAAAGCCAAAATGGAAACATAAATCTTTAGAATCATTTTGAGTCTTCAGAGATAATTATTTTCCCAAATGCAAATCCACTTAGATCCCATTTGCCATTTGAGCGCTCAAGCAGAGAGAACAGAGCTCCAGGAAACATCTCTAAGGCAGGAGAGCCCTGTACCCAAAATTGTGACCCTCTTATAACAAAGCCACAATAGTAGATCAACAAATAGTATCAATTTACAAAATTAGAATATCTCAAATCTCTTAGAGACCAAGCTGACATTGACACATACCCAAGGGCTATGGCCAGCCAGCCTGTCTCGCAAAGGTGTATGGGTATTCCAGAGCTAAGGGAGACACAGCAGGTCTAGTATTTGATTGTAACCCAGCAAGGACATTCCCTCTCTGCTGAACACTTACCTTCCTTCTTCCCTCCAAGAGCTATGCTGGGTGTGTAAACCCTTTCCAGCTCACTCTAAACCAGCAGCATAGCCAAGCCACCTGAGTGGTAACTGGCTGAGCTGAGGAAGCCAACTCACCACAGGACATTGAGGTCAGTCAGGCACTGCCATCAGAAGAGGCCAGAGGTGCAAACGGCAATATCCCCCAACCCTACCCACACCTCTCTTCACTCGCCCCGCAGTAGGGACTCACGTCTGTGGTTCTCGTTTCTGTGGTTAGGTGGGGATCGCGTCTCCTGATCCTGGGCTTCATCCCCTTCCTCACTGGCCAGGTGGGTGTGAGCATAGTGATAGCTTAGTCCTGGCCGGTTCTTGTAGCGCTTGCCACAGACTAGAGAAGAAAAGGAGAAATAACATCGTCAGCAACTTTGGCAGCTACTGCTTTCATTCCCCCAGGTTGCAGTCCCCAATCATCCACCCTTGAGCCAGGATTTCCTCAAAACCTACTCCCCATCCTAAATCCCCCTTTCTACCTCCTGTCGGAACCACCACAACCATAACATTATGGCCCCTGCATTGCTACCATGAATTTAAACTGCAAACAGGGAGTATAGAGGTTACAGCTGTGTGAGGCATGGCGCCATTCCCTGGCTAGAGACCATGGTCAAGTCACTTCACTGCCCTGTGCTTTAGCTATTTCAGACACAAAATGGGAATAAGAATAGGGCTGGAAGGGCTGTGGTGATGAGTTAACCCCTATCCAAAGCACTTAGAGCAGTAACAGCACCTACCGTGGGGGACTTTGAATTCCAGCAGCACTTAAAAGCTATCTGGGCCACGATCCCAAGACAAGGATGAGGCAAGAAAGAGCCAGCGGTGCTAAGTGATTTGCCTGGGGACACACAGCCTCCTGGATTCCTCTGCAGTGCTGCTCCTTCTAGTACCCATGTGCAGCAGGAAAGTTTCACATGGACATTTTTGATGTATCACCCAGTGATATTGTGCCAAAAAAAAAAAAAAAAAAAAAAAACCGTATTCCATTTCTACTATGAAAACCATGAACCTGTTATCATTAGCAGATCAAGAGCTTGTTGTGATCTCAATACGCAGGCCAGACTCTGACACCCCACATCTATAAAAGGGTGTTCTTATAAGCAGTACATCCCCAAGGGGACTGCTTGAGATAAGGCAGCAGCCAATATGAGCGTGGATTCTTGGAGGAACCAGATTCCCACACTCACCACCCCACCCCCACCCCAGCCCAATGGCTCAGCCTCTGGGAATGGGATTGTAGGTGGCAATGCTTGGGGAGCTTCACAGTAACTACGTGCCTACTGTCTAATCTTGCCATCTCTTCTCTCCAGCAGATCGAGCCAGGCCCGCTGTGCTAGAGAACTTGAAGGTTCTGTGTTCTAAGGCACTCTACTCTCCCTTATCTAGCACTAACATTTATGGTTTATACCCATGAGCATAAATACTGCACAGGCCAAAAGAGTAAAGATGTCAGCATTAGACCTGGATTCAACCCCAGTTCCAGCTGCCCAAGTTCAGAGGCTGTGTGACCTTGACTGTATATAGAAGAGCTGTTAACCAGTCACCTTATATATGATCATTATGGCTTCTCATCCGGTTTCTTTTCCTACTTTCCCCTGGGTCGTTTCGTTTTGTTTTTTAGGAAATAAACATTGGCAAAAATAGATAACATCATCTGTTTTTTCCTATATTTATCAACTATTTTATATTAGCTTAATTCATTTCAATCACTAGGGCAATAATGAAATCAAGCAATTGCTACTTCAACAAAGTCAGATTTAGTATTTCATTATTTAGAATGATGAATATGGCTAATTATTCATCTTTATCAAATTTCAGTAGTTCCTCTTATTGCTGCTTTAGAGTTTTATTAAGAGAGAATTTTATCAGCTGCCCTTTCAGCGTATACTAATCATGACTCTCATTTGTTGATACGGTGAATTATGCTGATTTCCTAATTCTTGAATTCTTTGAATGTACCCCATTTGGTCAGAGTATTATTATCCATTTGACATACTACTACATTCAATTTACTAATATTGCATCTGAACTCAGACTTGACATTAATCTATAATTTTTGGACTATCTTTATCAGGTTTCAATTTTATGGTTATGTTAACTTCCAAAAACGAATTGGAGAGTTTTGCTGTGTAAAAATTGGACAAGACATATAATTTCTTTATGCACTTTCTCTGTAAATGAGGGTAATAATACTTACCTTGAAGAATGGGCAAAGGGATTATAGATGTATTTGTAAAGCACCTTACTCCATATACAGCACATAAGAAATGTTCAATACAGGATAAGTAAGGGGTGTCAATTTCATTTGTCACATTGTAGGTGTTGAACTCTCTGCAAGAGCATCTTTGATGCTTGTTTGTACTATGGAATCTGATAACTGAATGGACTTCCTTGATAAGGCAACAGGAGAGTTTGAAATTGAAGTTGGTGATGGAGCAACAATAAATCCAAAGCCCTCTGTCTCTCCCTTTATGTCTCTCCCTCTCTCATAAATATTGCAAAACATAAAATAAAATGGTTCCATGCATCTTAGTTCCATGTGACTCAGGAACCTGGAGCTGAAGAGGCCCCTGAGGTCCACTCTGGGCCTGCTTGTGGCTTTCTCCATTTAACCTCTAAAATGCTTGGAGGTCAATAAGCGGCAAATAATGGAGCTGTTGAATACAAATTCATTTAGTCACCAGCCACACCTTTGATGAGGAGCAAATGTCTATTAAAAGTAGTAGTGTTGTTAGTATTTACCCAGCAGGCCTCAGCTGCCTCTACAGATCTACCCAGCAAAAACTCTACAGCATTGCATTTGGGCCATTTGTTATGCCAATTACTACTCTTCTGCTTAATCGCTGAATTCTGAGATCTTACTGGTCACTTGATCTAACCATTTATCTAATTGTTCCCTTAATTCTCTAAACCCATTGAGGGATAACTCCAGGGATGAGGAACTCCATACCCATCAGAGCAGGTACCTCTCCTTTGGGCCACTTGAATTATAATTATGTCTGCCCTGGAGGGCCTCCCTTCAAAACAGTTTCATAGTGATCCCATCAACAACTATCCCTAATCTGTTACAACATGTTATTTGTTGAGTGACTGATGAATAACACAAAAACTCCTGTGGGAAAGTCAGGAGATGTGGGCAGAGGTAGCTTGTGGAATTCATCCATCCATATTCATCTTAAAGTAATAGTTCTTAAAACCTACCACCAAACCCAAAGAAATTCCCCAACACCATGGAGAGTAACAATTTTTGAAGCAAATCCTTTTGCTAGAATAGAGACTTTTAACATGTAGCCTCCAAACCATCATCAATGTTACTGAGGAATTTAATATGCAAATAAATTTTCAGGCTTCACCTCAGACTAACTAAGAAACTTTGGGGGGTGGGACTCAGCCATCTGCACGTTCACAGACCAGGTGACCCAGGTGACTCTGATGTACACTAAAGTTTGAGAGTCACTGTGCTGGAAGACCGAATCTATTTGAGCCTGACCCCTGCAGCCACCTGGCCTCCCAGTGAATGGGCACAGCAGGTGGAGGCTGTGGAGGTAACTCTGCGACTTGTGATTTGTCATTAGAAAACCAGACCCAGACCACACAGGCTTCTTTATGAAAACCAGGCTTCTTTATGAAAAGCCTTCTGATGGAACTTAATCTTTTCCTACCTGCTTGTACCATGTCATATTTTATCACTGGATCTTCAATTCCAAACACTTATTAAACACCTAATATGTGCTCATCTATGTGGCCCGGAAGGAGAGAGTAAATGAAATCCCTTCCTCAAGAGTTCACAGTCTAGCTGGGACTTGCTCCAAACACACAAAGGGAAACTTAGGAAAGATGCAACAGAGAGGAGTACACAGGAGGGCCAGCAGATGGCTTGAGCGAGGCACATGGCTTCACAGAAAACGAGTCCTTGTGCTGTGCGTGTGTGATGGGCAACACTACATTGTGGACAATGTGGCAACGGCATCCGGGCACCAGAGCACACCCACTCAGCACAGCCCGGGGACAGGGAGAAGCTCCCCAAAGCCAGCGCAGGGGAGGGGTGAGGTAGGTGGAGGAGGACTAACAGGAGAGTCTGCTGGGCAGGACTTCATCCTGAAGATGACCAACCTTTACCCAGAGGAGCAACTCAATCAGACCTACATGTCAGAATACTGTTTAAGATTATAGAGCAGAAGAACATGAAGGTGGCTAGAGGCTATTTTGCATTACTTATAAGTAAAAACAATGAGGACTCGATACAATGATGAAGAAGTCTAGGAGAGAGAGAGAGAGAGAGAGAGAGAGAGAGAGAGAGAGAGAGAGAGAGAGAGAATCTGGCAGAAAGGTGTGCATAGAAAAGCAAGGAGGAGCCCAGAAGGCCTGGCACAGCCTTCCCAGGCGTGTATCCTCCACCACCCAGCCCCATCCCATCACATCCGCCTGCCCCTCAGCCCTCCTGCCTGCTCCCCTTTTTAGTTCTCAGTTTTCCTCCCACCTCTGAGCCTCAGCACAAGCTCTTCCCTCTGCCTAGCCTGTCCCCCACCCCCAATTTGCCTGATGAACACCTAATCATCCTTCAGATCCTAGTCCTAAAGTCCTTCCCCGGGTAAATCTTTCCAATCAAAATCAGGACCCTGGTTTTCTACCTTTCAAGGACTAATCATGCAGCAGGACACGTCTCCCCCGCTGGCAGCCAGCATGGTGGGCCCTGGTGTTCACACACACTGCATCCCCAGTGACCAGCATGGTGCCTAGCTTGCCACAGGCTTTTGATGTCAGCTAACGGAAGCGAGAAAGGTGCCTAGATTCCTGACCTGGGAAACTGGTGAGGATGACACAGAAGAAAATTCCAATTTAAGAAAGGAGGAGAATGAGGTCAGTCCAGGGTTGACTTTATTCTTCCAAAGTTTGGGAAAGAGGTGTGGATTTGGGCAAGGGGGGCTATAGGCATGGAGAGACGTTCCAAGAGATTGTAGAAAGAAAAGGGAAGCGTGGACATGGGATAGAATTCAGGAAACCCCAGTGGAGGAAGAAATGGATTTTTTAAAGTTTTTAAGAGAGACTCATATGAGAATAAGCAACATCGGCCAAAGGCTTAGGGCTTCAACAACAACAGTAGCAACAATGAAAAAAACAGAAAAACAAAAACAGTAGCAACGGGGCTGGGGATTTAGCTCAGCGGCATAAGCGCCTGCCTTGCAAGCAGGCAGTCGTGAGTTCGATCCCTGGTACCGATAAAAACGAAAAAGACAAAAAAAAAAAAAAAAAAAAAAAAAAACAGTAGCAACAATGACACTCCCAGCATAGCTCCTGCCAAGAGTTCCCGAGTGTACACCACGTGCCAGGACTGCA